GGCGGCAATGGGCAGAGATAGCAAGGGATTACCGGCTGCAATTTCACGAGTGGACAACGGTGGATTTTAGGGAACCGCTACGACCAGCCCAGGATTTTGCTGATCCATTTCCCCCCCATCCGTTGTCCCAGGTGGAAAGCCTGCGGGACGATATCTGAGCATCTAAGTACCATCTGTTTCATCGGTTTCATCGGTTTCATCGGTTTCATCTGTTCATCTGCAAGGAAGCTGAGCATCTTCCTAGGACTGTTTTCGCAACCACAGCCGACCTGTTAACTGGAAAGCAGGGCGATTAAAATGGCGCCATGAGTCCCGGAGCCCCCCGGGCCCAAGGTGGCTCTTTTTTCCACGCGCCTTTCCCCCACGCAGGGACCAGCCCGCCCTGATGGTCTGGCCAACCGGCTGTATATTTCCACCTAAAAGACTGGCCCTGCGCAGTCAATCCCCTGATATCTAGGGAAATCAATGCTGGCAGGGTCCCGAGAGTCTCAGTTATTCTTCAGAATTTCTCAGGGATTTAAAAAGAAAAAAGAAAAAAAGGACGAGTGCATTACATATACTTAGCAGCTGATCCGTTAACTCCCCAGTCTCACCGGGGCAGTCAATGCTGGCAGCCAGGCTCTCGCTCACCTTCCACTGTTTTTCAACTGTTCAAATGGGACGCTGGACCCATTTTCCAGCAGGTGTGGCTCCCCACCAATAGATTGGAGCAACCAGATCGTGCGCTAGGGGAGAGGCTGCTCGTATCACCCACCTTCCCTAGTGATGCTTTTCTGGCTTTTCTGTAAAAAAAAAAAAAAAAGGAGCAACCCCGTTTTTCTTTCCTCGGGCAAGCGATGACCACTGACAAAGTATAGCATGAGCACAACTGTCGCAGAGGTTGCTCATCAGTCTTGGAAACAGTTACATCGGAAAACGGTAGGATGCCCAAAATGGATGTTCAACTTCCGTGACAGTCCATTTAGGCGAAACTAATACACATTATCACTGTTTCCTCCCTCCTTTCGCATCAGATTTAACACATCAACGCGTAATCGGCTCTGTCGTGACAAGAGGACCAAATAACAAACAGATACAGTTTGGGGCAACATCGATGAAACATGAAACATGATCCGTGTTTTCACACTCCCAGATTTGCATTCAGATTGACGGGTACACCCGTGATCATTTTCTTTCCTTTTTTTTTTTTTTCTCCCCTGATGTCAGGGTTTGAACCAAAGACATCGATGGATAATACATGGGATATGCCATTGTGGATGAAACTGATGAAAAACCATGACTAGTGTTTTCTCCCTGCATCTTTTATCGTCAGATTTAGTACATCCACACATACATGGCTTCCTCCCTCTCCTCCCTCGGATCCCTGCCTGGTAAACTATGCTAGGCTTGGCCGGAGTGCCTCGCTCATCCCACGGACTGCAGTTGAACTGAGCCTGTTTCCCAGCATATACTGTATTCCCTAACTGGCTTTCATAGTCACAATGACCAAAAACAAATTGACACTCTTCTTTCTTGTGTGTTTTTTGTCTTGTTTTGGACCACGGAAAAAAAGACCTGGAAATTGCTGCAGAAATTGAGGAAGTCCCTTGAGCACCGAACACGCCCGACATGCCTTCCTAATTCATACAGTTCTAACCACCACATGTAGGCCAAAGCAAGGGTTAAGGAATCGTGAGTGACACCTGAACGCACAAGGAAGGAACACGCAGTAGAAATGGCTACAATAGAATGGGGCCACGTGCAGAGAAAGGGTAACAGGGATGGTAGAGGCTATGAAGGTAATAGAGGTACGAAATCAGTCGGTTGACAGGCGGCTCGAGGAGCTGCCACAGACGGCCCCCTCGTGCCTGGCCTCTCCGGGTTTTGACCTGTTGCGTGACTGGGTGCTGCGAGTAAGCTTCCCGGCCTGCAGGCCACCACCCTATGAAAGGCCAAGGCTTGGCGGTTGGGACGTTCTGTAGCGGTCCCCCCCCCCTTGATAGACGTCTAGTACCACAAAGGACATGTTGTTGCTTTTCTTTTTTCTGCTCTCCCCCCTTCCTTTGATGGATGTAAAAAACCTGCTTGCCAGTGATATAAGCAACCGGACTGATGCCCCCCAGAATAGAAGGGGCCTTTTTTCTTAAAAAAAGTAAAAAGGAAAAGAAAAGAAGAAAGAAATAGAAAAAGGAAAAGAAAAAGTGAAACCACCACTTTCACCATGCTTTTTTTTTTTTTTTCCGAGCTGACAGAGCGGATCTTCAACGCCTGTCTGCACGTATTGCATGTGCTTGCTCAAAAAAAAGAAAAAAAAAATGCATGTACTTGCTTACTGTCTTTTCTGAAGTTTCTTCTGACATCTGCTGTGTCTATTTGGAAATTCTGAAGCCAAGGCCACTTCCTTTTTTTTCCCTCTCTTTTTTTGAAGCCCAGGTTGTTGTAGAGGCCAGGTTCTAGACGTACAGTGGTTGCAGTCATCAGCCATTGGTTGTCCTGACCTAGTACCTCCCACCCTCGTTTCTCCGGGCCCGGTATGTCCCAACCATTGTATAACGAGGGTATACCGGGCCCAGACAGTCTTTTCGGTCCAATAGGCTGAGATCTTCTGCGACACCATATTATCGACAGCTCATTCTTCTAGCGTGTACCTGGTCAGGGTGCTTCCCAAGGTCTTTCCTTTTTTAATTATTGAAACTTCGAGCGGGTTCCACTTAAGGACGTGCCAAAAGCCTTCCTGGGTAAAAGGCTCCATCTATTGGTGGGGAGCAGCACCTCGTGGAAAACGGCCCAGCGTCCTATATGATACAAGAGAATACTTCCCAGCGCATCTTTCTTCATGTCTTCAGGGCATCCAGATGCCATGGGTAGGCTCGGTAGAGGCCTTGCACAAGGTCATGGTCAGCGCAGTCAGAACCGAGTTGTGGATTTGTTATTAGGGCAGAAAAAGAGACAAAAGGAAACAAAGTGAAAAGAAAGGGAAAGAACAAAAAAGAAAATGGACAGAGAGGGCTGTTACTCCTAGCACTATGACAACTACTGCAAAAAAAAAGAAAAAAAAGAAAGGGAAAGTAAAACTGCACAAGCATACTGAGAATCAAGCAACCTGGCTGGACATCCAGATGGATTTGTTTGCCTGATACCGAGTGTCGAGCCCCACTCTCCGGACAAGAACCGACTAATGGAAAAACAGACACCAGTCGAATCTGGATAGTAGAGCCTTTCAGGCCTTTTTTATTGTCATTATTATAGTATTACGGGAAACCCCGTAGCAGCCACATCCGTGCTCAAGCCTCCAACTAGGGAACATGCGGGAGCTGTTGCACCCACCAGCAGGTGCTATACCTGCTACAGCCCAATGGGGATTGAACGCAAGACCCCTCCTGAATGCCACTTGCGTGCCTTATGGAATAGCCAGCAATTGGAGCGCTCAGCGGAGGGGTACTAGGTGAGGATGCACTTATCACCTCACCTAGTAACCTGGGTCTGGGTCTTGATTGAAAAAAAAAGGGGGGAAAAAAAGAAGAAGCCAGCAAACTGTCCAGTCAGAGGCCCATATGGGCTGGGAATGGGTCAGTTCCATGGAAATCAGATTGCACAGACTCGCAGGACCTTGTGTCCCGCTGCCCAAAATGGGCTGGTGATCAAAACATCCCTGGTACAAATATTCGTCCAAATACCTTGTATGATCGGATATCCTCCTCAAGAGCAGACTATCCGTTATCCAAAAAACGGTCCATTAATTTCCCTTTAAAAAAAATAATAATAATATAACTTTGCCGCACTTTTCCAAGCACACAGTTTCCGTAATACTCCAAAACCAAAAAAGTGAAAATGGCAGTTGTTCACCCCCCTAGGTGATGCGGCGATGCAACCCCCCTTCGTAATAAGGTGATGCTTTATGAGTGCTATTCCGGACAGTGGGGCTCGGCTGGCAGTGCACTCCCAAATTTCTTCCTTTTTTCTTTTTTTTTTCCCCTTTCTCACCCTGAGCCATCCTTCATTTTTCCCTTTCTCACCAGGAGCCTCTGACATGATCTAGTAGGCACAATGCAGGACATAACTGCATACTCGCCATGGAAAATGAGTGAACGGACCTAGCTAGAATTCTGGCTGAATACCAACTGGCCTAGCTCAGTTGGCACACCCAATGAACTGTTGAAAAAATGCAGACCCAAGTTCAAATCCAGCTGCAATCAGATGAACAGAATCAACTCATTCTGAATTACGTGGGGCCGTTCAGATTAAAGCTCATATCACAAGGCCGTCCCCCTTTATTTAAAAAATATATATATTCTGGCTGATTCACTAATCTCGTAAGTAAGAAGGCCAGATCCCCTACCTTCTTCCCCCAAATACAATGTACGGTCATTATAGCTGTATCTAGACTGAAAGATGCCTCAAACACCGCTATAATGACCGTACGTTGTATTCGGGGGAAGAAGGTAGGTGGCATTATTGTAATCCATGAGGAACATAACCTGCGATCTGGTCATCAACGACCAAGTCTGTACATACCACTCAGACACCTTGCAGTATCCGCACTCCAATTTCCGTGTGGCATGTGAATTTTCTTCTTAGTTCAACGAGGACCCTACACAAGACGGCTGATAAGCCTGTGGCAAACAGACCTCCTCTCTCTCTCTCTCTCTCTCTCTCTCTCTCTCTCTCTCTCTCTCTCTCTCTCTCTCTCTCTCTCGTCTGTATGCAGGCACACGCATAAACGTATATGTGCATGCACACACACACACACACATACATACACTCTCAGCACACACGTATATGTGCATGCACACACACACACACACACACACACACACACACACACACACACACACACACACACACACACACACACACACACATACACTCTCAGGGGACGGGACTCTGAGTTCAAAAGCTGGGACGCTCAGTCACCTAATCCTCGTCACAAATCCGAAAGGGATTACCAGGCTTCTGCATATTTCTAGCATTGGTGGAAAGAAAAGTTTTCGTGGAAAGAAAAATTGTCATGCAACAAGAGAAAGGAAGTTTGAGCTTTGTTTTTTGTTTATTTTTTAACTCACCCAGGCAACAAGGTTGTGCTCTCCATGGGGCCGAGTGGCATCGATAACTTTCCTTCCTGTGATGAGTTCCAGAAGTACAACACCAAAGGAGTAGACGTCGCTTTTAAGGGTGAGCTGTCCGGTCATTGCGTATTCAGGAGCGCAGTAGCCGTACGTTCCCATTACGCGAGTAGACACATGTGTTTCACCCCCTTCTGGACCCATCCTTGCCAGTCCAAAGTCGGAAAGTTTGGGATGGTACTTTTCATCCAAAAGAATGTTCGAAGACTTGAAGTCGCGGAAAATCACAGGAGGATTGGCCTTATCGTGTAGATATTCAAGACCGATCGCTGCTCCGGCCGCAATCTTCATACGCATAATCCAGTCAAGAGCCTCTCTTTCAGGAGGTAGATCTGCATTCGACAACCGAAAACAGTAAACACCGAGTCCCAATCCAAAGACAACCGACACACTACGCAACAGCAGCGAAAGTCAGATTCTTCTTCAACACACAGTGTTCTTCTTCCTCGTACACTCCATGTGCTTCTTCCTCGTACACTCCATGTGCTTCTTCCTCGTACACTACATGTGCTTCTTCCTCGTACAATCGATATTCACAAACAAGTGGCCAGAGACTACATTGACCTGATGAGCCCAAAGAAGTGAGCACGCACTACGTTCACCTGAGCTCAAGAGTGATAGTAAACCCGGAAGCATAACATCAGGCAGATCTCAGCACAATCAGGCCAAAGGGGGGGAAATAACCTCACACCATGCACAGATTCATTCCCGGCTCAGCGGCCGTAGAATTCAGAGCGTCTTCTAACGGTCACCGAGGGCATACTGACACTAGAATCTTTGACTTATTTCTGGATGTAATTGCGGTCAGAAACATTCAGGTTCGGACGTCATTGCAAAATCAGATGCATTTTAGATAGAGCTGGTGTGAGCACGGCCCTGAGAGTACCCATCCACATATTCCTAATTAGGCACTTCGAGATGAAGAGGCATGCACATGGCGAACGCCACGCATGAAATGAAATGAAAGAGATGGACCTGCAAAGCCAACCCCTGTGTGAATCTCATGTTCTTTTTCTAGAAGCACAACGGACAACAAACAGCCCATTAGCAAACAGTCACATCAGAGTGGTTGCGAAGACATCCAGAGTTAACAAGGGGAGGGACATAAAGGGGAGGCACATAATGGGGTGGAAACAAGCAGCATCCGCTGCAGCTGGGTTACCGAGACCATAAGGCCAAAAGAACACTGGACGTCACGTCACATCACGTCACGTCACTGGCCAGAAAATCAGACAAACTTTAGAAATACAGACCTAAGTTGGCAGCCAGAAGACGGAACTGGACGAATGATATCAAAATTTCAAATATTACTGAATCTCTCAATCTTACTAAAAAAACAAAAGAGGTAAATGAGATATAGGCATGGGGAGATGAATCATTTTCTGTCGCAGATCAGTGTTGATATTCTGCATTTGTCAAACGGAGCCCAGAACAATGTTTGGGCTTTGCCTGGGGAACCGGGGGCAGGGGGGCAGGGGGCGGGGGGAGGGGGGCGGGGTTGGAGGGATGTGAAGCGATATAAACACCATAAAGGCGTTTAAACCGGAATCTATTCTTCTTCATAGTCTAAACTTGGCAAAGACAACATGCTCATTTCCAGACTCTTTGCTCTCTCTGAAAAATGTATTAGGGACAGCTATTGCGAGCGACTATAGTACTTGCAGTCTTGCAGTGATATTCAGTTTTCATCTAGGGAGTCTTTACGTTAGCCGATGAGACATCCATTTGCCAGCCATCCGCATGGAGGATGTCTGTCGAATTACGCTCAGGGCATAGTCACCCTGACTGAAATTACGGCAAAAGCTGGATGAATCTGACTGCAATCGCGTCCAGAGGTTAGCAGAAAAACTCCGAGTGCGAGTATGACCTCAGATCCACAGTTGCATAAAGAAACGTAAATGAGAAGCGAGAATGTCCCAGGTCGCCGCCATAGACAGAGAACCTGGCCATAGCCAGGGCGGCGGCCTGACAAATGCCCAACACAACAAGGCAAGCAAGGAAAGGGGAGCATAAACTGACCGAACAGATGATCTTCCAAGCTGCCAAGTGGCATGTACTCGTAAACCAATAGCCTCTGGTCGCCATCTGCACAGTAGCCAATAAGATTGACCAGGTTCGGATGACACAGACGGCTTAACATAGCCACTTCAACTCTGAACTCGCGATTCCCTTGAAGTCCATTTCTATCCAGCTGTTTGACTGCCACAACCTGCGCAAAAAAGCACAAAAGTTTTGGAGTTAGAACTCACGAGCGAAGTCCAATCAGCAACAAAACATCATTAACCACTCAACAGATGGCCACAGAAGGAGCGCTCCATAACTGTGAGCGACCCAATCCACTTGATGAGCAGTAATCATGATGGGCCAGTGGCATTCATCGTCCACAGTCGATTCACGCAGCCTCAGCAGAACTGGGATATAAAGATCCACCGAAAGATCTAGGCAGATAGACAATGGTAAACCTGGTCAAGAGACCAGGAAGGCGGGTTGTCTGTACAAACTGGACTGGAGGGGAGGGAGGGAGGAGGGAGGGAGGGAGGGAGGGAGGGAGGGAGAGAGGGAGGGAGGGAGGGATGGAGGGATGGAGGGAGGGACGGACAGACGGACGGACGGACGGAGGGATGGAGGGATGGAGGGACGGAGGGATGGAGGGACGGAGGGAGGGACAGAGGGACAGAGGGAGGGACAGAGGAACAGAGGGAGGGACAGCAGGACGGAAAGAGGGAGGGAGGAGGTGTGGGCATGAAAGGAATGACGGTGATGGTTAGGGAGAGTGTTAAGGTTGTAGAGATATGTTGAAGGGGGTGATGAGGAGGATACAGCCTTTGAGGCATACCCACATCGAATCATACATAAGACATAGTCTAGGAACCTATAATATATAGTCTAAAAAGCTATAATACATAATCTAAAAACGAGAGCATAGAAAGTATTTGAAACTCCTATTATACATAGTCTAGAAACCTATAAAATACAGTCTAGAATAGTCTAGAAACCATAGTATATAAAGCACTACAAACCTATCATACATAGTCTAGAAACCTATAACACATGGTCTAGAAACCGATAATACATAGTCTAGAAACCTTTAGTACACATATGCATACATACAAAGTGCACAGAAACCTATAATACATACTACATACATAGTAAATAGAAACCTACAATACATAGTTCAGAGACCTCACATACACATATATGCGTACATACATAGCACAATACATAGTCTATAAATACATACTACATACATAGTAAATAGGNTAGCAATGCAACAGCACTTCGTCTGCAGCACGTCCTTGTAGCGACTATGCCATAGTGGAGAAGATAGATGCCCATTTGTTTCCGAGTACATGAGTGAGTCGTGCTTCACTCTTCGGCAATGACGTCTTTCCAGACTACCAGCAAGACTACAACCAAGCTTTCCCATATACAACACTGCTCCAGGTTCAGCATTCAAACTCCAAACTACTCGTACACGTATGCTGTCTCCTCTGCCCTTCTGCATCTTTCCGCCTATTTTCCTCATTTTTGCTTCCCAGCACACTCACATCGACACTGTCACCACACTCCATCTCCACCCACGGTGACAGGCTGAGATCGACGCTTGTCCCTCCAACCTTCACCCCATATATTTCTCTCCTTGGCATACACGCGACGACTCCCGTTCCTGAACCTCAAGGTTCCCTTTTCGGAGAGTTCGACAAGATTAGCACCTGCAATACTTCTGGCAGCGGCCTCACGGGCCATCATCTCGCGTTCTCTCTCCCGCTCCTTCTCCTTCTCCGCCTGTCTTTGCATCAGCCTTTCTCTCTCCCTTTGCCATTCCAACTCCACATCCAAGTCCTTAACATGGCAGTCTGCTGCGCTAGAATTATCCCTTCCTCGCGATGCACCCGTGTCTGTGTTGGATGCGGTTTTTGAAGACACACTCGGTGTTGCTTCTTGAGAGTATTTCTCAGACTGTTCTCTCCTCCTTCGCGATCTGCTCTCCCTTTCTTTTGCTCTCTCTTTCTCTCTCTCTTTCTCCTTCAGAGAGTCGCTTTGCGTCAATTGAGGACCTTTGCACTTCATCTCCCCATCAACGGCTGGCGACCTTGCTCGCGAACGCGGACTCACATGGCCTCGTCCATCCCTACCCGACTCCTTTCCTCCCTCCCTGTCCACATGCTTATCCGCTTCACCTGTCCGCTTGCTATCCCTCTCTTGCGGTACCAACAGCTTCGGCATCTGCACCGGCGGTTGAGGGGTGTCATTCGTGAGGGTAGCCAGAAAGGTCAAGGTCGACACAATGTCGCTGACTAGCGGGCGATACTGTGCCTGCTCCTGAAGGCACATTGCAGCAATACCCAGAGCATGGTACAGTCCCCGCATAGGGTAACGCCCATTTAACAATGGATCTGCCATCAGTGGAAACTTCCTCCTGTCCCTGAAAAGCGGCCGGGCCTGCAAATGGAGACATTCAGAGACAATCAATGATATATACAGAGAAGATTAGCAGAGAAAAAAATGGTCCAAATTTTTTATTTGTTAAACAGCTAGTACACAGCCCCAGCCTTGCAGAAAGTTATTTGTCGCCACAAGCAGCGCGGCCAGGCCCGCCGTTGGAAAACAAAATCGGCGGCCTCCGAAGTGGTGCGGGTTTCATGCTGACACCCGCGGGCTGATATGTGGTGTACTGGAGGTTTATTAGAAGTAAAAGAGATGCATGGACATCCGATAAAAGGATTAGAAAGATACTGAGAAGAAGATAAGCACGGCCACTGTGCAAGGATGACACACATAAATCGAGAAATGGTCCACATTTCTTCTTTGTTTAAGAAAAGAAAGAAAAGAAGGGAGAAACAAAAATACATGCAGAGACAAGAACCAAATATCCACAGCACAAGAAGTTTGTTGGTTTGAACCGAGATGGTTACACGTCAATCACGTCTAGAGCCGGAGAACGGTTGGGATCCAATAATGTGGAGACAGCAATCAAGACCTCTTTTCTTTCAGGAAAATCACTCGCCACTTGTCTCACATTCACTTGCATCAAACTGAACTTCTCAGCACCTGGGGTACTTTCCAGACACAGAAAACTGGAGGTGCTTCCAATGATACCCGTTCAGTTTTGTGCGCCAATCCCTCTCTGCTCTTTTGCACCAAGCTCAACACCAAGCTCAACACCAGGCTCAACACCAAGCTCAACACCAGGCTCAACACCAAGCTCAACACCAAGCTCAACACCAAGCTCAACACCAAGCTCAACACCAGGCTCAACACCTTGAGAACTTAATCATGTGCTTTCCCGTTGTGAAAGCAGAAACAGACTGCTTGTCGCTTCGTAGACGGGAAGGACAAGGTAGATCTACTCGACTAGTATATGCCATCTATCCGCGCATCTTAAACCACCAGTACACCCAAGTCTGGCGGACTCGAGCTGCACGCCAAGCTTTGTCAAACTGCCAGCAGCGCATATTTTATTATTTTTCCCTTTTTGGCTGGTGCCACCAGCCATTGTGGTCCGGTAGCCCCGAGCCTCCGAAATTTTGGAAGTGACACCAAGTGAGCCATTCATTTTCACAAGTCGCTTTGGGCCGTCTACTGGCGGTTTAGAGCACCAATTCCGTCAACAGGACAGATGCATGATATTGATAACACAGCAGAGCCTTCATAACCACTAACCACTACTAGCCAGTTGCACACGCTGTGCGACCTCAAGAATGAGGCAAGGTTACCGTTCAATGTGTTTGAGACAGCCAGCCTGTAAGATCATTTGATTCATTTCAAAAATGATGATGATGCTCATATCCCTCAAAAGCATACGCTGCAGCCTCAAAAAAGTCTAAGGGGACACAAAACCATTCAAGACTGGTCTATCTTCCTTGCTCAGAACGAGGGTCGCTATTTGGGGTGAAGACCATAGACCTAACCGTCCGCAAGAGACCAAAGGAACGCATGGCAATCGTATATAAACTGACTATAGGTGAGATAATGCTACGAAGCGACCCCAGTACACATACAGGAAATATTCCCAACGTCCTGGGCCACTGCACAACCGTTCCTGCTTCTTCAACCCTTTCTTTTCACTGATCATGTGTCACACACTCAACAACAACAGCCAAGGACAGCACTGTACATGAAACACTGGGACTTCATTCAGAGGGCAGAACCCCAGGTGCTCTCTCTCTCTCTCTCTCTCTCTCTCTCTCTCTCTCTCTCTCTCTCTCTCTCTCTCTC